CGCAAGGACTTGCATGTATGCGCAGCACTTTCTGAAGAATTCAGTAGTACAAAGAACTTTGGTTAAATGAAAAACCAAGTGTCATTAGATTTCCTATATTGGATACTATCTATTAGTATTGTTTCTGTGTCTGGCTGTGTTTGGAGCACGGCGGCTGTCCTGATCAGTTTTTGTCAACCAGAGTCACTAAAGAAGAAGGAACCTTGATGGAGAAATTGGTTCCATTGACCAATGGGCATATCTGTGGGCATTCTCTTGATTAATGATCTGTGGAAGGCTCAGCCCCCTTTGGGGGATGCTACCCATAGGAGGTGGTCCTGGGCTGTACAGGAACACACACTGAGTAAGCCACGGAGGGCAAGCCAGTAATCCACGGTTCCTGCATCTGCTCCTGCTTAAGTTCCTGCCCTCAGTTCCCTCGGTGACAACCTGTGGTGGGGGTGTGTAAGCCAAATAATGCCTTTCCTCCCCAGTTGCTTTGGTTCACTGTGTTTATCATAGCAACAGAAATCCAACAAGAAAAGTGGTCTTGGCATCCTATACCTTTGGGTACTGGATGCTTTAAAATCTTAATTTTGCCTCCATATTTACTGATCCTTCTGCTTCCAGAGGTCTGTCTTCCAGTAGCTTTTGTTTTCTTCTCAATTAGCCTGTTTCTGCCTGTCATCTGTCTGTCTGTCTGTCGCTTTCTCTGTGAATGTGCAGCAAATGCATAAACTCTTCCCTCTTGGGCTGTGGTATGGCTTTTGTGGAGGCCAGCTGCATCCACAAGGACCATTCATTGACTATCCTGCCTGACTTGTTAGAACTCATAAACATGATCCAGCACAAAATTTGAAAACACCTTCATTTGGTTTCTTCAGGACCAAGGCGCATAATGTCAAGTGTCAGGTTAATGTCGGCTCATGTTTATAGGGTAAAATGCCCAAGCAGTTTTTCTGGAATAATTTATTTTGAACAATAATGATACATCTTTCGCTTAGTGGGAGAAAGAGTTCTTTGACTCTGATTTTTCAGCATCCAACGCATATTTATTTTTTAAGAAACAAAATGTTTAACGCATTTTTGTTTCTCATTTTTGCCGCTTGGATCAAAAACTTTCCCCAAACATCCCCTGTTCTATTCTGCCTTCAGGATGAAGGATACACAGCATTGTCTTCTTTCTGTGGCCTCTTCCCGGTGGAGTTTTAAGCTGAGTTCAGGCTGTGAGCAGCGGTGGGTGTCTCAGTCTCTTCCACTTCTGTTCCTGTTTACATGACTCCTAAGTTCTCATCAGCATTTCTAGCCTGCCTCCTGTGGAGACAACTGCCACAGGAGAGCTAGAGGGTCTCTGGACTGTCACCTGAGCCCAGCTTAGGTCGGGACTTCACACAGCTACTCTAATGACGAGCTATGCACACTTATTTTGTGTCCTGATCTGAACTCTGTGAGACACTGAGACAAAAACCACTCAATTCTCCTTTAACTGATGAATAAGTAGATCCTCGGAGCAATTAAGAAAGTTGTCCTTAATTGAGGATGTAGTTCAGTGGTAGAGTGCTTGTCATACATGCATGAATTCCTGGGCACTGCAGAAAACACAAAAGCTTTGCCCAGGGCCATTAAACCTGTGCCAGCTTTTCAAACTGTGGGTCATAGTAGTTGATGGGTAACACTATCAATTTAGGGGATCAAAATATATTTAAAAAAAAAAGAATAAAATAAAACAGAAGACACAAAGTAGATCATAAATAGAAGTTGTGCTTTCCTGTAGGTTTCCATTTCAGTCATTGTTGTATGAATATGAATTTGTACCATGTTGTAATATGAAATTTACTTATCATTGTGAGAGCTGTAGTCCAACTCATTAGGAAACAAAACAAAACAGATGGCTGCTTTCTACTTGGGTGTTACAGAGAGCTGAGTGGTTGGAAATGTAAATTTTGGGGAAAATGGCTAACACTGAACTTCTTACAAGCAAATAAATGAGGTGACTAGTCAACTATCAATTTTCAGAAAGGTTACGCCTTCATTGTGGTTCAGTGTGCATCAGGGCTAGGGATGGGGTTCAGCTGGTAGAGGGCTTGCCTAGCCAGAACAAGGCCCTGGGTTCTATTCCCAACATCACCTGAATTGGGTGTGGTGGTGTGCGTGCCTATTTGGAAGGTAAAAGCAAGAGGATCAGAAGCTCAGGGTCGTCCTTGGCAACCTAGAAAGTTCCAGACTAACCTGGAATATGTGAGACCCTGTCTGAGTACAGAATCATGGTGGAAGCTGTGTGCACACACTTAGGAGGCACTCGGAATATTTCCTTGAGTTAAAGACACCTTCGGGGAACATTTTACACATCTGTCTAGAGAACTTAACGACGGGAGCCATAAACCTAAGCGACCCTTGACACACATGCCGCCATATTTGGGTTTCTCTCCTCTTTTCTTAGATCTAGGCCTTGCTTAAGTCTCCATAGCACCAGAACCTCTTCCCACAGATACCAGAACCTCTTCTCAGATATCAGGTGAACGAGCTGCAGTTAGGCAATTAGGCAGTAGACAAGAGTAGATAGATAACCCCCAGGGCAACATTCCCTGCTGGCCAAACAGCCCATAATTAAGTCTCTTCCTGCTTGCAACCCCCATAGTTAAGTCCCTTCCGGCTCGCAACCCCCTTTGCCTACCTATATATGCCTTGAGAGTAAAATAAAATTTTGGAGTTGATCAGACATCCTGTTTTGCTCTCATTCTTTGTGTCTCTTGTCCCTCTCATTCGCCGGCCCTCCCTTTAGGTCCCCGTTGAAGACGCCGCTGGCCGGGGCAACTTCAGACATTTGTTGTGAATTAAATACCTTCTTTGTTACACAGACAACAGATACTCTTTATTGAGAATTTACTACATGCTAGGTCCCTTTCTAAATGTAGGGGTTCTAAACACAGGCTCTCTCATAATCCTATGCCAACTTTCCCCAACACACGGTCTTGCTATGGGTCCAGTGTTTTCCTCCTGTTTCAGATGAAGCAGCTCATATAGAAATGTGGGACGGCTTGCCTTTTAGAACTGGAATTCAAAGCCAGGTTGATTTCTGCATCCTTAGGAGAAAGGATAGCAGATCCAAGTCTTCTGCCAGAATCTTTTCCCTCAGTGCTTAACAACTTTAGTTTTAGGGTTTTTTTTTCCCCCTCTGACAAAGTTTTTTCAGAGTTCCATTTAAATCGCTCACACTGCATTGAATCCCTTTCCCTCTTTGTCCTCTTTGTGGTACCATGGAACAGCTGGTCACCATTCCCCCAGACAATGAATGGTGAGGCCGTCATCCAGAAGCGGCCAGTAATTGTCCTTCCTCAAACCAACAATCTCAGCTCCTTGAGCCATTTTTTTCTCGGTCCTATTTTCTCCCAAACCTTCAATTACTTCATTGTTTCTTGCCTTGTCTCTTGGGGATAGTGCCAGAGCGTATCCTTATCAGCCCTGGCTGTGCGGACTGGATGAGGTGTGGACATTTTTAGTTTGTATTTGTGTTCCTCTGTCCATAGGATGGGGGCCCATGGGCTGACTTCTCATGTGCATCCTGCCAGCCACTCTGGACCCCAGCTCGCTCACAGGTCCACTGCCCTGAGTCCTTGGAGTGGCACCTCACTGCTAATTGTCACAGTCTCCTTACCCCTGTTTCTTCCCGAGGACGCCCTTCCCCGGCTCCCTAAAGCACCTCACACGCTTCCTCCTCTAATCGGGTTGGACATTCAGCTGCACTTGGCCTGTGTATTGTTTTTCTTTCTCTCTAAGCCCTTTTTTAACTTTCTGTCTCAGAGTGTTTATGTGCTTGTCATCACCCATTTAAATATTGTTAACATGTTTAATTTATGAAACATAGACATGCTATGAAATTCAAACAGTGTAAAAGACACACACACATACACACACACACACACACACAGAGAGAGAGAGAGAGAGAGAGAGAGAGAGAGAGAGAGAGAGAGAGAGAGAAAGCGCTCTCATTTTTCCTAATCCACCGTCCTCTGGAGGCAGATGACTAGCATTGGCAGTTTCGTAGACATCATTCTAGACATGTTCTATGCATCCAGTCTGTGATCTTTTACATCCACGTATGTGTACCAGGCATTTTCATTTAGGTCACCAACCAGCTCCTAAGTCAGGACATGGAGACTTATTTTTCGTTTTGAACGCTCCGCCTAGCTTAGGCTTGTTTCTGGCTAGCTCCTTTAACTTAACTCAACCAGTTTCTCTTTATCTGCCTTTTGCCTTGGGGCTTATTACCTTTCTTATTTCTGTCTTTCACTGCTTCTCATGTCTGCTGGGTAGTGGCTGCCTGGCTTCTTGCCCAGGGCGTCTCCCACATTCTCTCCTCCTCCTTCTCTCGTTCCCCCCTAGCCTAGATTTCTCCTCCTATTTACTCTTTCTGCTTGCCAGCCTGGCTTATCCTTTCTCTGCATAACCATTGGCCATTCAACTCTTTGTTAGACCAATTAGGTGTCTTAGGCAGGCAAGGTGAAACAACTGTAACAACACATCATTACACAGCTAAACACACATCCTTACATGTTAAACAAATGCAGCATAAACAAATGCAACACACCTTTACACAGGTAAAGCAGTATTCCACAGCATAAACAAACATAACACATTTTTACCTAGTCAAAATAATATTCCACAACACTTATGCATGTACTTGTATATGATACATCCGCACTTTGTGGTAGGCATGCGTGCATCCGTACATGTCTACAACTGCACAAACTGGATGGCTAGGTTATTATGTATCTTCTTTTCAGCAGTACAGCTTGCTTACCACTCTGCTGTGCATTATAAAGAACCTCAGCTTGTATGTGACATTTGTTGCTGGAGGGCTTCTCTCCAGGTTCCCCAAGCCCCGCAGTCCCACAATCCACGTTGACGCTTATATCACTTATAAACTGTATGGCCGTGGCAGGCTTCTTGCTAACTGTTCTTTTATCTTAAATTAACCCATTTCTATAAATCTATACCTTGCCACGTGGCTGGTGGCTTACCGGCGTCTTCACATGCTGCTTGTCCTGGCGGTGGCTGCAGTGTCTCTCCTCCTTCTTCCTGTTTCCCCAATTCTCCTCTCTCTTTGTCCCGCCTATACTTCCTGCCTGGTCACTGGCCATCAGTGTTTTATTTATATAGAGTGGTATCCACAGCAGACATTCCATTCCCGGGATGAATCCTAATTCATTTCATGAAACCCTTTCCGACACACATTTGATTTTAAGAGCGTGGACTTTGGAGTGGCATTGCCTGGCAGAATCCTTTCTCTGCCACTTCCTAGCTCTAAGGACATGGCCACCCACTTTTTTGTGTGCTAGCTCTGTCACTGCAGAATGGAAACTGTCACAGTAACTCCACTTTGAGTGACGGTGAGGATTAAATACGCCGATCAGTGTTGCACAGAGCGGGCTCCAGTCGGCTCTGTCTGCTGATTAGACTGTTCCCTAAGTTTGGCTAGCACCCCGTGTGTTGCCGTGAACAACCTTGAACACAGGAGTGATATCCAAATATTTAACAACTGTTACTCCGTGGACACTGATTAATCAGTGATGCTGGCCGCAGTGCGGAAGTATGGTCCCAGAGGAGCCTGGTAGTAATAGGTGGCTGCCTCTTGGCTTGATGAATTGTGCAAGTCTGGAGGTTTTTGGGAAAGGCTTGGATCTCAGACAACAGCGCTTGCTGTGAAGTGAGTGGCCGAGGGCTCTGACAAGCGGGTGTGGCACACGCCAGAGCAAAGTTAACTAGACAGTGAAACCTACTTCCATACCCTCGTGTACATATCTTTTAGGATAAACGCCTAGACGAGGAATTGCCAGGGGAAAGCTTTTGCACACTTGCAGTTTATTCTCTTGAAGAATTCCATCCACATCAGCAAAATGTGGAAGCACTGTTCCCTTGTCACGTGATAGTTAGTGAACTTCTTTATGCCTTTGCTCATCTGGATCATTGCAAAATGACACCTCAGAGCGGTCTGAATTTGCACTCCTCTTGTTATAATTGGGTTTGGATGTTCTTTAATGCATCCAGAAGACACTTATAATATTCTTATCTGCCATTATTATCCCGGTTATGATCAAATGTCTTTATATGCTTAGCAGACCATTTCACTTACTTTTCTGTCCATTGTCTCCACACACCTTACTCAGTTTTCTTTGTTGTTGTTGGTCTCTTACTGATTTGTAGGCGCTGTTTATATAGTACATGCAATTCATTCTTCTACTTATCTGTAGAGATTCATTGAGTACCTAGGGCAGGTGGGGTACTATTTTAAGACTAGGGGCCATGCCGGGCGGTGGTGGCGCACGCCTTTAATCCCAGCACTCGGGAGGCAGAGCCAGGCGGATCTCTGTGAGTTCGAGGCCAGCCTGGGCTACCAAGTGAGTTCCAGGAAAGGCGCAAAGCTACACAGAGAAACCCTGTCTCGAAAAACCAAAACAAAACAAAACAAAACAAAACAAAACAAAACAAAACAAAACAAAAAAAAAAAAAAAACTAGGGGCCAGATGAAAAACAGCAGCAGCCGTGGAACACAGTTCATGGCTTCAAGATGTCAGCTACTGGAGGAGACAGATAAGGCAATAAATAGTTCTGATTAAAAACTCAGAAGTGCTCTGAGTATGGTGGCATTCTTTGGGAGTACAGGGGAGAGAGAGAGTGTCCATGTGGGCTGTGTCTAACTGGGGATTCCACAAGCAGTATTCAAAGCCTTGAATAAGTAGATGCTTGAAGGATGCTCACTATCAGTGTATAGGCTGGTGAGCTCCTCCGTTTCAGAGCCTTTTCTAAGAAGCTGAGCTCCATGATTTTCCTGATATCAGATACTGCTCTGGAGTCAGCCTTATTCTCAGCTCTGAGACACAAAAAGAATCATGTGAATGCAGAGTACAGTTGGAAGGCCTAAAGCCTTGCTTTCTGATGATAAGTACTTTATTTATCTGAAAGGACTGTCAGCCATATTTCCCAAAGAGACAGAGACCTTTCTAAATATACCCCCGTGTGTTCATTTGTCCTGCCTAGTAATAACCTTTCAGTAACTATTGTTTTTTTAAATACAGGTTGGACACAATACAGCACTCAAGCCCTACAATGACCTTCACCTTTCTACTGTGTCTTTTATTGAGTACTTGCCATGAATATTTCACATCCAATTAACCCGCATAGTAACATAGCATAAAGTGGGTCATCCCGCCTTTTAAAAAATGAGTTAAATGTAGTTGGGCCAATTGATTGCACTTAGGGCTGAAACAATGGCCATGAGAAGAAGGAAAATCCGAGGCTGCTAGCGATCCCTTTATGTGTGGTTCTTTGGCTCCCAAGCACAGCCAAGTCTATGAATAGCATGTGTCATACACCCTCAAGCTGGCCTGGCTCTACCCACCAGGTTGAGAGTTCCTGCTTTAGTTCTCGAAAGTACCAAACAAAAGGGAGACTGTTGTTAGAATTAATGGATGAGACTGGCCACGCCATCTATTGGACTCCATACAAACCAAAAATATGAGGCCTCTTATTAGGAAATATTTTGAGTTTCCAAAGGGAGGCTGCGGAGTATCCATCAAATGCAGGTGCTTGAGAAGTACAGTCAGATCCACAAGCATAAACTGAACAGAACTAAATTACATGGAGAATGGAGGAACAGATTCTTAGCCACGTCTTGAAATGTGTAACTCTTGCCAAGCCACGACTTGTGTTATATAGCTTGTGTGTGTGTGTGTGTGTGTGTGTGTGTGTGTGTGTGTGTGTGTAGGGGGACATGCATGCATGTGTGTACATATACATGAGAAGACTAGAAGAGGGCCTCAAATGCCATTCCTCAGATGCCACGCCCGCTTTAAAATATATTTTATATTTATTTTATTATTCTATATATGAGTATTTGCCTGTGGTTCCAGGGTTGGGCTCTGGGACCTCCTACTTCCCACCCGCACATTGTTTCCCACAGCTGGAGATCAAAGACACACCAACAAGCAAGACAGAGATTATCTGTCCATGTTTCGTGTGGTGAGACAGACATGAAATAAGTAAATACATGTCTGTGCTGGGAGGGAAAATAAAGCAAGGGAAGAGGGAGATCGGATGGGGCAAGAACAGGAGGAAACATGCACTCATAGCCTGTAGGTCCAGAGAGGCCCCTCAGCTACGTGAGTGGAAAGCTAGGACATGATGGCAGATAGCCGACCAAAAAGCATTCCAGGCTATGGAACAGATTACACAGGGGCCTTGTTGTTAATTCCCCCCCCCCTAGGGGAAAACAATAAACATAAACAGAACCTACAACCAACTGAGGCTCAATTCTACTGAAGTCCCCTCTGGGGAATCAGGAAGTTCCTTGGGTTTACTTACAGAGCATGGGTGAGAAGGATTACCTATGGGGGTGCGGGTAACTCTCCCCCAAAGACTGAACCAGACAGTCTTTACTCAGCAGGGTGATGGCTTCCCCACAGCGGAAGAGATGGAGCCCCCTTCTCCTAGTGTCCGATGCTCTATATACTCTAGACCCTCCTTGCCTCAGGCTGTGTACAATTAAGGCAATATTGTTAGGGAGCAGATAGATATTCAGGTAAAGGTCATGTGACCCTCCCCTCTCTGAAGGGATGTGAACAGTCAACGAAACAGCTAGGGTGATCAGAGACGATGCTTTATGGGTTCAATGAGTGGGAAGGAAGCCATGGGTCTAGAGCAAGTGACTGAAGACACACGTGGAGATGTCACGGAGTGGGCGTGGGGAATGTAGGTCTTCGTAGGTCACAGTAAGAAGTATGATCTTTGGTCTGGAGGAGATGAAAACCCACGGGAGTTTTGAGCAAAGCAGTGGTATGATGTTTTTAAGTGTTTTTCCCTCATTCTTGAGAGTCTCAAGAATACATACACACGATGAAATATGATCACGTCCACCCCCATTCTCCTTTCAACTTCCCCTGTGTCCTTTTACTATGTCCCTCCCAACTTCAGGTTTTTTTTTTTTTTTTTTTTGATGACACACTAAGTCCAGTTAGTGTCGTCCATATGGGGTAAGGGGTATGAGGCTGACCACAGGGGTACAGGAAAGCTGCCAGTGGTTTTACTCCCATGGAAGAATGATTCTCTCCTCCAGCAGCTATCAACTGCCAAGAGTGCCTCAGTAATGGGCAGGGCCTAGAGAGCGCTCCCTTGCTGTGGTGGTTTGAAAGAAAATGGTCCCCAAAGGGAGGGGCACTATTAGGAGGTGTGGGCTTGTTGGAAGAATGCTGTGGAATGTCGTTCTATATGCTGTGAATGTGTGTTGCTCTGATTGGTTGATAAATAAAATGCTGATTGGCCAGTAGCCAGGCAGGAAGTATAGGATAGGCAGGATAAGCAGGCAAGGAGAATTCTGGGAAGAGGAAGGCTGAGTCAGGAGTTGCCAGCCAGACACAGAGGAAGCAAGATGACAAGGCAGAACTGAGAAAAGGTACCAAGCCACATGGCTAAACATAGATAAGAATTATGGGTTAATTTAAGTGTAAGACCTAAGTCAGTAATAAGCCTGAGCTAATGGCCAAGCAGTTATAATTAATATAAGCCTCTGTATGTTTACTTGGGTCTGAGCCCCTGCCCTGGGACAGGGCAGGACACAGGAAAACTTCTAACTACAGAGGAAGTGTGTCACTGTGGGGCAGGCTTTGAGGTCTTTTTTGCTCAAGCTTCCCTCAGTGTGACAGTCAGTTGACTTCCTGTTGCCTGCAAGACGTAGCACTCTCAGCTCCAGCACCACGTCCGCCTGCACGATGCCATGCTCCCCTTCATGGTAATAACGAACTGAACCTCTGAAACTTTAAGTGAGCCATCCCAATTAAATATTTTCTTTATAAGAGTTCCCACAGTCATGGTGTCTCTTCAGAGCAACAGAAACCCTAACTAAGACATTTGCCTAGGCTAGAATTTTGACCGACTTGATGGTGTTCAGGCAATCACAGTCCCATAAGCTTGTCATATTTAGAAAACAGTATTTCACAGCATCCCTCACCATCTTCCAGCTCTTACATTCTTTCCACCTCTTCTTTATTGACACTCTCTGAGCCTTGAGGGGCGAGGGTTGGAGCTTGATAAAGATATCTCATTTAGGGACGGTGCTTCTGTTTAAGCGGTGTTACTCTAGCCACAGTGCTGGAATGAACAGCAGAGAATGTGGAAATAGAGCAGCTGGGAGCCTGTGCTGTGAATCCGGAAGAAATCAGCGAGGCTCAGACCGGAGGGACGACAGCAGAGCGGGTGAAGAGGTGTTAGGTTTGGTGTACATATTTTGAAGGTAAGTTTTAAAAGGTTTTTCTCGTAGATTAATTTAATGGTGTGAAGTTGAAACACATACTTGTTGAATTTTTTGAGAAAGCACTTACGT